AGTCCGATGCGGAACTCGATCCAGGGACTCCAGGATCATGACCTGAGCCGAAGGCAGTCGCTTAACCAACTGAGCCACCCAGGCGCCCAATATACAGTAGCTTTTAAGCATATAGTACTTTTCATCCTCTGAAGGAAAGGCAAGACAGTAATAGCATAGTAGCAGCCAAGGAAAGATAACAAATGGGAGAAATGTTATTTATCTTTAAAATAAAGATCAGATGGATTTGAACAATTTATAAAAGAACTTAGTAGAGAGAGTTTGAAGACAGAAGATCTAACAGATGAAGCAAGTTTCCTGAAAAAGTAGAAGCACAATGGAATCCAGAGTCAAGTTAGAAGCCTTGGATGGAAGGGTCACCTCCTCAACAAGACAAGAATTCAAGATGAGTGCAGTTCATAAAGCAGGGGAACAGTAAACAGAGAAAGCTCCCACTAGCGGTATATGTTTCCTCTGAGAGTGAGGGAAGTGGCTACAAAAAGAATGTTTAAGAGAAAAAAAATTAAATTGAGAATATATCCTAAGAGAAAAGGAAGAAGACTAGTGACACAAAGAATTTTTGGGTACTACAAAGAGCCCAGCCAATGCTAGCAATCAAAGGCTGTATAAATATCTCTAGGCAGTTCTCTACACCCTGGCTATGAGAATGGAGAAAATGGATGGTTGCATTTACTGGGGCTAAAATTTATAAGATAAATGAAGTAGAAAAAAAAGAGAGAAAGGAGTTTGAAGGTGTGTTAAGAAGAGAGGCAAGGAGGGATCTGACTAATAAGAAAATGACGTGGTCAAAGGCCAAGCAATCCCAATGAAGATCAAGAGCAGCTACAACTGGAGTGAGGGGTAGCTAAAATAACAGGTTTTCATCAAAGAGTGTTAATGGCAATATCGTCACCAGACTCAAAATATCCAAGTCATCTTCAACCATTCCCTCCCCTGCAACGTGCAATCTTGTTTGTCTTACTGATTTTACCTCTTTACTTCTCCCCTGCTCTCTATTTCTAATGCTACCAGGGCTTCATTATATTTCCACTTGACTCTTGATGGAGCTTCATAACAGGTCTCCCAATTTCTAGTCTTTCTTCTAGTCCATTTCATCAATTTTTCTAAATGACTATCATGGTCATATTCTGTTTCAGTGGATTCCCACCATTTATCAAAGTTCCAAATTCTTTGTATGGTGATCAAGATCCTCATGATCTAGCCCTGACTTAAGTTTTCATTCTTTTTCTATTACTGTCCTTCATACATCTTAACTGTAAATCAATCTGAACCCCTCAACAACATTTGTTAATGGTCTTACACTCTCTTGCTTTCTGACTCAGGCTTAGTAAGTTCTCTTACCTAGAATTCTCTTGCCCGTATCTACCAGCATAATTCCAATTCCACCATTCTTCAAGCCTTGGTTCAAATGCTACTTTGATCCCTCTGACAAATATAATCTACCCCTATTCTCAATTCCTATAAAACTATGTTTCTCTAGGAGTACTTACCTAATATTACATTTTGTTATTATTTATGTATCTTAAGTCCTCTATTAATCTGCAAAGACTATAGCTTACTTGTGTTTTTGTATCCTTAGTAACTTGAATAAAACAGACTTTCCAAAAAAAAAAATCTACTAAATGAATAAATCTTACATGTATGACCTTCTATGGAAGATCACACTGTATTGGACCCTCTAGAACAGAGTTCTTAAACTGGGGCCAGTAAACCTGAGGGGGGTTACCAAATCACCTCAGATCTACAAGCATTGTGAAAATGTTACGTTTATGTACAAATGTACATATATTTGTACATGAAATTTTCTGGGGCAAAAGTCCATAACTTTCATCACATTCTCAAAAGGGTATGTGTTACAAATTAATAAAAGTTTTTGTGTAGTTACTTTAATAATAAGAGTTCTTACCTTTTAGAGAGTCATTCTAAAATATTTATAGCTACAAAAGAAATAGCTGAAATATGACCCAAAATAATTAAAGTCTGGGGTGGGGAGTAGTGGATGGAGATATAAATGACACAACATTGGCCATAATTTGATAACTGTTGAAGCTGAGTAATTGGTACGTAGCAATTCATCATATTATTCACTCTGCCTTTGTGTGTGTTGGAAATTTTCCAACACAGGATTTTTTTTTTTGAGAAATAAAAAGGCCCAGGGGTGCCTGGGTGGCTCAGTCAGTTAAGTTAAGCATCTAACTCTTGATTTCAGCTCAGGGTTATGAGATCCAGCCCCACAACAAGCTCCACACTGAGCAGTCTGCTTGAGGATTCTCTCCCCCTGCCCCTCCCCGAACTCGCGCACGTGCACCCTCGAGCGCACTCTTTCTCTCAAATAAATAAATCTTTAAAAAAAGCAAAGCCCCTAAAAGGTTAAAAAACCACAGATTTCATCTAACTTTAGGATTAAATCAGCCTCTAAGGAAGCCTCTGGCTTAGGTTAGTTGCTTCTCAGAGACTAGATCAGAGTCAAACTGGCCTTTTCAAAGTGGAACAAATGAGATGTCATTTGCTGCTATTCACAACAAAAGAAAATTTTCATTAGAATCAAGTAGTTAGGCTATATAAACAGCCAACAGGTATTAAAATGGAAAAAATATGCAGAGTTTGAAAAAATCTTACTGTGCTCAACACTGGTTAGGATTCTTTCTATTTGCGTATAATGTTCAAATCTTCACATTTTTAGAAAGACATGAATAATTTGGAGAAGATCCACAGGAAAAAAACAAAACTGGTCAAAAGGTTTGAATACTTCCTCATCTTATGATTTAGAGTGGCAAAAAAGAACAAAAGATTACTTAGTAGCAGACTTCAAATGTAGGAACAGATAGAAACCTACTGATTCTCCATCTTCATTTATGAGAGATCCAAAGAAACCAGATTAAATTTTATCATCTCTCATAAGGAGCCAGACTACATGATTATTAAGTGCACTATTAGTTCTAAAATTCTATGATGTCCTGGTTTTTGATAGGGGCACTAGTTGAGAAAAGCTATTATCTCTATTTATTTCCTTGTTTAAACACTCATAGCACATCAGACCAGTAATACTGAAATATTTCCTTACTGAGAATCAAATTAGAATCTAAGAAATGTCCATTTTCCTCTTTATCATCCCCCTTTCTTTCCACCCCCACCCCACTTATATTACATTAAAATAGCTGAGTTGCAGTCTAGCCTGAAGGCAGGAGAATGAGCAAGATGAATTCTTAAATTCCCTTTAGCCCGATGATGCTATGATTGAACTATTTCTCATATACCAAAGATAGAAGGTTATAAGTGTAATGCATCCCTTGCACCTAAGCCCTTTCCTGGCCCCCTTCTCAAATGCTAAAGTGGGTAATTCTATCTCCATATTAGCTTAATGTTGACCTACTGAGTAACTGATGAAGACCAAAGGCAATCTTCAAAAAATCTGTTTAACATACACAGTTTAAGTATTAACTCTGTATTTTAGAACCCAAAATTGCGTTGGCAGAAATAACATATCCCCAAGAGAAAGGAACATTTTGTAACACGGAAGAGGTGAGAAAAAATAGAGAGAAATATAGAACAAAATGTTTTACAATCATGTCTGTATTCTCATATTCTTATTTTCCACATATGGAAACTGAGGCATTGCCTTGTGGAAAAATTAACACTAAAATGGAAAAGAAGAATGTGATGAAGTAAGGAAATCCTAAGAATCCTATACAACTAGGAAAAAAAATGAAATTTCTTAAATAGCATTCATGTTCTCTTAAAAAGCCTATTAAGTATATACTAATATATTATTATTGGAAATTATCAGAAAGCATTACCACTAAATTTGTACTAAATTTGTATACATGTTTTTAATATAGGAGAAGAAATATTAGGTTTAAACCTGAACTTCTCTTTATCATTTCTCTCAGAGTATAGAACCGCTATGACTAACATTGCCCAAAACTAGGGCTATTAAATTCTCTCATAAATTACTTTGACATCCCCCAAAAGTGGCGTTAAAATGTGCAAAAGTGTCCATTCCAAAGCAAAGCTATCCCTCCATTCCTTCATAAAAGATTTAAGCTAAAGAAAAACAGAAAGAAAACCCAACAGCTGAAGACAACATCAAGCTATTTATAAGTCTTCTCCCAGTCCCCCAGACACCCTCACATGGGGGCTATAAACAGCTAACCAAAATATCTTTGAGGCTCTCGTAACCACACCCACTGACACAAGTAGAGCTGAACCCATAGTGAAACTAGACTTCAGTTTCCTTTAACAAGTATGTGCCTCCGATAATAAACTGGAGTAAATGTGACAGTAATAAAACATTAAAAAAAAAGTAAGAATCATACCTTTTTCTCCAACAAATGGTAAAGACCATGTGAAGACATCCATAAAATTGGGCAACCAGTAAGGATGTGGAGAACAGTTAAACTGTCGAATATTCATCACATTATTTTCATACTTTAATACAGCAGCTGTAAGGTAAGTGTGAATGTGAATGTAACAATTTGTCTTTAGCTCCAAAACTCTAAAACACATAAAAGCAAAAAAACACTGTTTTAAAGGAGTGGGGAATCAAGGTGTGAGTTGAATGAGGACTAGTAGAGGGAGATAGGAACAAATTTTTAGTAATAACACATTTTTGTTTTTAACACACTTTTATGTAGAGCATCGTCAGATCTATATTTATTAATGAAATTTCCAGATTTCTAGAATGTTTTACTTTATAATTCAATGACAAACATGCACTTTTACTATATCCAAAATTGTGAAAACTCAATTATTAGAGGAAACACAGAATGGCAATGAGCAATTTTCTAGGTTTAAAAGTTCATACAAGTTGAAGGAATTTAAGAGGATCTTTTTCATTACAGGCAACCTGAAAAGGATAGCTGATGGTAATGAAGCAAAAAACAAAAAACAAAACAAACCCAGAAAAAAAGCAGTTCTTTATGACTGTCTGAATATATTTATTTCATTTAATATGGGAAATCAAAAGAAACTACAACAAAGAAATATTTTATTTCATTTAGAAAAAAATTCCATTAAAATATCAAAAAGAACATATTATAATAAAATAACCCAAAGGTAATAGACTCATCTCAATTTCAGGTATCTTTCTATTGTTTCAAAACATTAAAAGGAATAATATCTTAAATTAACTACACAGATTTCAGCCACTGGTTATATTATTTTCCAGAATAGTGGGTTAGATGGACTAGATTCCAATCTAAGCTCCAGCACACACTAGCTTTGCAATGCTTGGTAAATTATTTAACTAATCTGTTTCTCATTTATAAAATAGAACCATATAATATGTCCACCCTAACTACCTCAGAAGTTTGTTTTACGATCAGAGAATATATTTCACATGAAGGTATATAAAAGTATAAAATGCTTTGAAGATATTATAATAATTATGTGGTTATTTTTTTTTCCATTTTAATGAAAGCATGAAAATACAGATATTAAATTCCAAGACTTGGGATTCTGGCTTATACAAAGTCACAAGTAATATGCTTGTTTCCCTTATGGAATAAAAGTATTTTAAATTTGGCCTCAGAAATTAAGGAATGATATCAAGTTTTCAGCTTTAAAACAAAAGAGAGAGAGAATCTAGAAAATTGCCTTAGAGATGAAATGAAACATTACAAACATATCCATACCATGTAAGCGCTCAAATCATTAACACTATGTACAGACTAATCACTACTAAGAGACATTTGATTTTGACAAGACAGATTCAATGGTTTGAGTTTCTTTTCTGAATACTCAGAAAAGTGATCCCTTCAAACCCCCTAAATCAAACTAACAGAGGACAACCAATAAGACAATCAACTGAGCACTGAACACTAGGTCCTGTAATACTGACAAGAGGAGGTCATAGGTGAGGTATTAGAGCACTGGTAGGTTAAATGCAGCACTCTATTCTGTTAAGAACAGAGTCAAAACTTAGATACATTCTCCTCAAAAATGAAGCCACACATCATTAGGTAACTTCTCCAGAAGTTCGGAAATTTATAAACCAAACTATAACTTAAAAGAATATTTTAGCATTGGCATAATCCTTAAAAGGCTGCACTGATACTAGCTTCCGAAGATGAGCAACTCAGTCAAGGTATGGTTTTTTTGGTAATTAATATAGTATTAAGTTTTTGTAACATACTCTGTATCAAAGTTATTTAGCATGCTACCATTTGATCTCAGGCAAACGTTTTAGTCTTTTAACCATCATCTCAAATAATAATAAAAAAAAAACAACTCTTCTGTTCCTCTTTTGAACTCCATGACCCATATTTAGCAATGACCTCATTATCTCTCTAATACTTTTAAAAGTCTTTAACCTTCTGTTCTTTCCTCCTGGCACATCTGCTCCAGTGACCCTGGAAACTATGGCATAGTCAACTGAATTCCAGACATATCAAGACAGAATAGGAGAAGGCTTCTTAATTTCCTCTTCTGAAAATGTGTGCTACGTAAACATACCCAAGCTCATCTTCAATTCCCTTGGCACACACTTAACTAGATTAAGATCCTTTGGCATTATCTGTCAATAAGCTATGTTCAAAGTTAAATGAAACCAAATTATTATAAACAGATCAAATCTGGACAGAAGGAAAGGGAATGGAAGCTGGTGGAACAGCAAGTAAAGAAACAAGATGTAAGAAAAAAGGAAGAAAGAACAGTAAAAAGAAAAGAAAGGGAGGAATATATCCCTGAAAGGAGGTCAGAGTGAACTGATCAAAGAAGGTTCAACTATTAATCTTCAGGGGGCAATGATAAGACTGTGGAAGTAAAAGTAGGGAATAAGAAAGGGAATAAGAACCTAGATCAGTGAAGAAAAAACAAGAAACATGATAAACTAAATTAACTATACAGTGCCAATACACGAAATGGTCAAAGCAGCAGCAGCTTTATGCAAACAAGAAAACATTCTCTTGATTATAAGGGGAAAGATTTAAGAAAGGGGAGTTTGAGAACATCATGTTTGGTTTCTTGACTTAATTCAGAATATTTTTCAGTAAGGTAGCTTCTATGACTGCCAAGTTGTAGAATGGTTACATATTGATTTAAGTTTCACATTTTGGATTTTTATATTTTTATTTCTTGTTCTCTCCCCTCCCTTATATCTTACACTTTTTTATAATGAGATTTGGATAAATACAGTTTCAAACAATGCCTTTTTTCTATTATTTAAAAAAAAATAAGTCAATCAAAACGCTAAGTTGTTTAACAATTTTTTTTATCAACAACATCTTACCTTTATTATTGTAGACATCTAAGTAATTAGGTGCCGAAAAAATTGTTATTAATGAAGGGAACCCTGTAGTTTGACTTTTTCTGTACATTCTATAGCTGTAAAACAAATAGCTTAATATGCATCGTAAAGCATCAATCATGAGTTACTAAGTTTGATTTGTACATAAGGTGTTAATTTGGGTCAGGGAAACAGAATTCTTACCCTGCATCTTGAGCTTCATGAGCTCTAATAATCGATAACAAATTATTGTTTTGCAAAAATTCACACACTGCTGGATAGCTGTGGGGGGAAAAAAGTAAATTAAGTAAAATAATGGTTTTCTACACGAAACATATGCTATTTTACAACTAAAATGTGTTTAATCTTGGATATTTTTCCTTACTTATAAAAATAAGAACATCCTCGAACTGTATTGTGACTAAAATGTTCCTGTGATTTTTCATTTCCAAAATCTTCAGAAGGATCGGACCATAGCAAGTCACACATTGGTCCAAATGCAGGTGGCTCTTTGAATCTATCTAACTGTGAAAGAAAGAAAAGAAAGAAACAAAGAACAGAAATAACTTGTCAAAAAGTGAGAACAGAATGGACACAGGAAAGTGGTACCAACTTTGAATACTGTCCATATTACATTGTTCTGAATGGTTAGAAGATATTTCCTTAAAATATCAGTATATTAATTTTTACCATTACCTAATCTTGGCAGTAAAGAGGAGTTTGAAGCTTCTACTCTCTACCCAACAAAGTACTGTAAATAGGAATCAACCTTGGAACTACAATATATACTCACTCTCCTAATATCATCCAGTGTGTGTATTTCTGGTGAAAGTCCACCATGAACACAAAGAAATTGTTGATTTAAAAGTGCAGCAAGAGGCAGACTATCAAAAGCTTCCATACAAGCTTCATAGACTCTTTCTGAATATTTAATTTTACCTAGAAAAAGAAAAAATAATTGATAATCACATTACTAGTTTTTCATTTTGAAGATAGATAGATACATAAATTGACTATTAAAACCAAGGCAAGAAAACTACAGACACAGAAAACAGCCAAGTGGTAGCCAGGGGTTGATAGTGGGTATGGGGGTGATTATAAAAAGACAGCAAGAAGTAATTTATGGGATGATGAAACTTTTCTGTATCATGACTGTGGCAGTTGGCAGTTCTATGCATTTGTCAAAACTCAGAACTAAACAAAGAGTGAATTTTACTGTATATAATTTTTTTTAAAAGGCAAGCATCTTGCCCTGTTAAAATCAATAAAATAGGCAATCTTATTGGTCTTATGAAGACAAAATATTTGCTGTCTCTAAATTTACTTTGGGTATGCAGCAGATCATAAAATATTACTTAAAGTAAGTAAGTCAAATCTCTAAAAACAGCTCAACCCTTTACCTTTATAGGCCAAGTAAAGCTAAATTAGAACTATACTTAAAGCTGTTTTAATACTTTATTTTATTCTAAGAGTCAGTGACTACTTTGTTGTTACAGACAAGACTACTACATCATCACAACAAAACTCAAGGTCCACCCAATTAAAAAAAAAAGAAAAGAAGATATCTTATTCATATACTGGAAGAACAGAGGGGTTCCTCTGGTCTACAATGAATGCTTAAAACGGACAGTGAAGCATGAAGCCAAACTAACACAAGAGAGACAAAACTCCACCAAATCCAACTGTCATTTACTTTTAAGGAGATTATCATACACATCCCTTTGTTTGTTTGTGTGTTTAAAATTCCTGGCTATTTTACATTTTTGCTGTAATTTTGGTGAGTAGTTTGTTTTATTAATTATCTAAAGAAAAAAAGCGCTTAGTTTCTTTTCCCCTTTTTAGTATTTTAACATTCAAATATGAGAAAATCTGGGGCGCCTGGGTGGCTCAGTTCATTAAGTGTCTGCCTTTGGCTCAGGTCACCCTGGGATCCAGTCCCGCATCGGGGTCCCTGCTCGGCATGAAGCTGCTTCTCCATCTCCTTCTGCCCCTCCCCCCTGCTCCTGTTCTCTCTCTCGCACTCTCTCTCAAATAAATAAATAAAATCTTAAAAAAACCACAAATATGAGAAAATCTATATCCAGCAACCAGAGGTTCTAAACTGGTAGTCTGCTAACAGACCTGTTTTCCAGCACTGTGGCTTAATAAAAATTGTAAATTGATTGCTTTTAGGTCAAGTATGCACTTTCCAGGCCGCATCTTTTATTCATTTATTACTTTATTTTATTTTTTATTATGTTATTATTCATAACCTATTCATTTAGGTTACCCACCTGATCCTTGAAGTTATAGGCCTTTGTGCCCTCTGCCATTACTCACCACTATATTTTTCTCCTTTTACTGGAAGTCTCTAGTAATACGATCTTTACTGGATCATGTTTGGGGCTCCATAATTCTAAAATTATTTCTATTTTTAGAACTTAACTCTACGACTTAATATAGTTATGAATATTAACTTAATAATATTAAGTTAAGAGGTGTGAAAAAAGGTCAAATACTGCTCTATATAATACTGTGGCTTCTGGTTATTGGATTGCCATTGCCACAATAATTTAAGAGAGAAATGGGGTAAACATTGTACGTTAAGAATCTCATTTCATTAATAGCATGTTTGAAACAATCTGCAATGATGACAGGATGAGTAACTTAAGAATCTTCATGGGAGAGCTTCAATATTGGGGGACAAAAATCTCAAATGCAACAACAACAATTTTTTTCCTTTTGGTTTTTATTCTTCCTGTTAGAAAAAAAAAATCACTTAAACATTAAAGCTATATGAAAAACTCAAAACCATTTCTAAATATATCTATAAAATCAAACTTAATAGGAAACACTGAAATGAAAACGTCTGAATACAACACCATTAAACACTAGAGAACTCTTGACAATAATCCTCAAAGCTTTATATATTTGGACACAAAATCTGTTCTTATATGTTACACTGTAAAGTCTTACTATCCATATCACTTCACAAGAATACTGAGGAAATGAAAATATTTCTCATGAAAGTACTCACATTCCTGCTTAAAGGTAAAATATTCAGTAAGGTGTCTGCATTCATGATTGCCTCTCAGGAGAAATAATGTGCTTGGGTACAGAATCTTCAGGACCCATAAATATAAGACACACTGCAAAAGAAAACATTTTGAATGAATTTCTTTTATTTTTATTTCACTAAGTTGTTTCATATTTGCTCCTTTTCTCTGACCCTATTGTCCTTACAATCTCTGTTACTCTTTACTACCTTTTTCTCTTTGTCCTTTACTAAAATATAAGCTCCATGAAATCAGGGACTTTGTCATCTTATTCACTTCTCATCCTCCACTCCTAGAAAAGTACCTAGCAAACAGCAGAAAAGTAATAAATATTTGTTGAATGAATGAGTCAAACAATTTATTTAATTACTTTATATTTACAGATTGTTTGCTATAAAAACAATTAGCAGAATGGTGTCCTTCTTAGGTACATCAATAAATAAAATAATAATAATGTCAAAAATAATAGCATGGACCATTTATTGAGTACTTACAATGTATCAAGCGCCATGTATTTAATACTCCTTGTTTATTCCTCAAACAACCCTATGAAGTATGTAGTATCATCTCTATTTTACAAACAAGGAAACTGAAGCAAAGAGTTCAAGTAACTTGTCTGAAATCACAGAACTTTTAAGTAATGGAGACAGGGTTCTGATCCTCTGATCTTAAGCATTATGCCACGCTGCCTTATGAAGGCCATAGGATGTTTTACGTTTATTTTGTTGGTTATGCTTGTTGCCTTACATGAGGTAGGTGCTTATTACCTAAACTGATTCAAAGAAAGTATAATTTTTTAAATCAGAAGAATATTAAAGCAAACAGTGTAGCAGATGCTTTTCTCTAAATAGATTTATATTATTTTTTTTAAGATTTATTTTTAAGCAATCTCTATACCCAACGTGGGGCTCAAACTCACAACCCCAAGAGCAAGAGTCACATGCTCTACCGACTGAGCCAGCCAGGTACCCCTCTAAATAGATTTAACATAAGAAACTCACATTTTACTTATTTGGTTAAAAAAAAAAAAAAGGAAATCGGGGCACCTGGGTGTCTCAGTCAGTTAAGCGTCTGACTCTTGATTTCAGCTCAGGTCGAGATCTCAGGGTCATGGGATCGATAAGTCTCAAGTTGGGCTCCACGCCCAGCATGGACTCTGCTTGCGATTCTCTGTCTCCCTCTGCCTCTGCCCCTCCCCCTACTCATGCTTGTGCTCTCTCTCTAATAAAGAAATAAAATCTTAAAAAAAAAAGGAAAGATACTTCATATGGAAATTAGCTTGGTTTATAGAATTATATACAAAAGAAAACAAACTTTATTTTTAACAAGTTAAGGTATATTAAAATGTTAACTATTCACATCTTCATTTTACTCATAAGGAAAAAAAATTAAGTCAGGGAAATACTTATTAAACTCTGCCTCTCTTTTTTGCTTATTTTGATTCTTTATTATTTTCCTTTTGTAACAATAAAATCTATTAAAAGAGTCAGCCATGGAGTGCCTAGGTGGCTCAGTCATTAAGCGTCTGCCTTCAGCTCAGGTCATGATCCCAGGGTCCTAGGATCAAGCCCCACATCAGGCTCCCTGCTGGGCAGGAAGCCTGTTCCTCCCTCTCCCACTCCCCCTGCTTGTGTCCCCTCTCCCGCTGTGTCTCTCTCTGTCAAATAAATAAATAAAATCTTTTTAAAAAAAAGATATTAAAAGAGTCAGCCATAAAACACTCCAATACAAGGGCATACACACCAATATGCTTAGTTACCAATAAGCTTCCTAAAATTGTTCATTTTACTGTTTTTGTCAAAGCCCCCTATCTTTTTTGTTAAGAAGGGCCATTATTCTGGTTTTCTTGAAGCTTTGAGGAAAGTTTGAGGTGAGTAATGATGAAGCTATGAATAAAGGAAGAACAACTCAGAGGTAACAAAATTCCTTAGGGAATTTGAGTGCACAGAGCCCTGAACTTCTTTCCTCACTATGAATCCTAGCATACCTGAGAAAGGAGGTTAAAAATAGTGGAGAAGGGGATATAAACAACGGGAACCAGCTGGAAATTCACCAAGTAAAGATTCAATTATCTACTGGGAAAGGTGGTTAAGAGTACAGGCTAACCAGGTGCCTGGATGGCTCAGTCGGTTAAGTGACTGACTCCTGATTTCAGCTCAGGTCATGATCTCAGGGTCATTCAGCTCAGGGTCAGGAGCCCATCAGGCTCCATGCTCAGTGCGGAGTCTGCCAGAGATCCTCTCTCTCCCTTTCCCTCTGCCCTCCCCCTTGTTTGCTCTCTCTCTAAAAATAAAAATAAATAAAATCTTTAAAAAAAAAAAGAATACAGGCTTAGAATAAGACTGGCTGCACTGCTTACTAAAAATATGTCTTTGGGGAAGCTATTTAACTTCTCCAAGCCTCAGTTTCCTCATCTATAAAATGGATAAAATAACAGTGCTTACCTTATAACGTTGTGAAGATTTAATTAATCAATGTGTGTTAAGTGCTTAGAATATGCTTGGAACATAGTAAATACTCAACACAAGTATCTATTAGTAGAGCTTTTATCCAGCAATTTTACCTCCAAGAATCTGCCCCACAGAAATAATTTAGCAAGTATGCAAAGATGTATAAATAAGCTTACTCACTGAAGCATCACTATAATGCTAAAAAATTAAGAACACTTTAAGTGTCTAACAATAATTAACTGTGGTTTGTTTATTCAATAGAATACAACGTGGCTATTAAAAATGCTATAAATTTATATATACTGACCTGGAAAGACATCACAGTATAGGGATATATGAAAAAAAGCAAGTTATAGAACAACATTATAATATGGCCACATTTTCATTTAAAAAAAGAGAAATGCATATATTAGAAAATGCAAATAGTTCTATATTTACCTTATTTTATTTATATAATTAGAGAAATAAAAGGAGCAAAAAGAACCATGTGCTGTTAAGTAATGATCAACAGGTCATTTTAATGCCTCTTAAGTTTTTTAAAAGAAACGAATACTTTCACAACACACAAAGACTTGAGTCTTAATAGCTATAAAGGTAGACAGAAGCACTAGAGTTTAAGCCTTAAAAGTATTACAGTATGTTTTATTTAATCAGAGAAAATTCAATTAATCTTTTTTTCACATGGGGTAATGCCTTTAGGGGCAAGAGAGATAAATAGCACTAGCTCCTTAGGGCCACTAGATAACAGGACAATAAAGAACCCTCAGTTTACATATAATTTCCACTGGGAAAAATGGCAATTATAATTGCATAAACAGAGTAATACAAAGAAAATAAAATAGTTTGAAAGGCAGAAGAGAATAAGTAATAGTTTTAACCTAAAAACTGCAGAATAGCAGAGGTATTAAAAAGAACCCAATATAGGTACTTTAAGGAACTTATTTTACTAGGAATTAATGGAAATCATCTATGGTAACATTTAAAAGCAAATCAAATGATAGTATATGATTATTACCTCTATACTAAAATAACCTCTGTCCACATAATCACCAAGAAAAAGGTATCGTGTATTAGCAGGTGATCCTCCTACTTCAAAAAGTTTCATCAGATCAAAAAATTGGCCATGGATGTCACCACACACTGAAACAAGAAGATTATTAGATATGAAAAAAAACCTCTGAAATAACAAATTTTACTTAAATTCTAATTTCTTTTACATAATAATGTAAATTCTATGAAGAAAGATCTTGGCAGGAAGTTCAAATCTATGAAGAGTCGTAATAGGGATGATGTGTACCCAAGTGTTCACATGTGCTCAAGATCTAGAACAAGATATAACAAAAATAATGAAATTTGTAGTCAGTGACAAAATTTTCACCTAAATTTATAAAGCTCCTCTTTAGGAAGCCAAGCATAGGTCTTAGGATTATAAAACTTATAATGGTGGCAGTAAAATCTCCATCCTAATGCAATACCTTCTGCTGACTGCTATGTTGACACTGAGGTATTCGCCCCTAATAATTGAAAGCAAAGTAAATAAGAATTTGTTGAATAAAACTGAATTATGGCCAACACAACTGATGAAACCTTCACAAAAGTGTATTAGACCAACTTCTGCTCTCAGGTTACTTAAGATCATATTCACTGAAAATAGGCAAACCCCCCAAAAATTACAAAAAATAATTTCAAAATTCAAGATAATGTCCCTGTAATATTATTTTAGTATACCATAGATTGAAGAATAAACAGCCTTAGATCCAAGCAACTAAATAATGGTATAATTAAAAAAATAATATCCAAAACATAAACAAGTGTACCTGTAATTGGAGCCTCTACTTCTATCATGGTTTTCTCTCTCCGAAGGATGGCAGCACCCTCATTGATAATTCTAAGTGCAATTTCTTCATCTACCCGACCTTCTTTTACTAAGTGGTTCTTCAGAACATCAACCCTGGGTATCCCATCCATATCAAATACTTCTTCAGATGTCAAGCGATGTGTTGGGGGAAAAGGTACAGCTGCAATTTTTTTTAATTAATAAAAAATAAATCACTATTAATACTGTAACATAAAAACTAATCAATGGATCTAGGTAAATAAGAGTAAAACCTGAAAAGCTGGAGTTTTTATTTATTTATTGGATAGAGGTGTTAATATTTTTAAAGGGTTTTCTAAAAATAGTAATCAAATTATACTTTTATTAATCTATATATAATAACATGTTCTTTGTCGAAAATTATTAGAGAAATGAACTACCTCAAAAATTAAAAGCTCTTTCAGGATAACTAAAGTTTTCTTTAAGCCACAGCATTTTTTGGCAGAACTTGCAAATCATATTATACACTCCTTACCTTAATGAAGTACAATAAATGTAAACTTATTACCACATAAGCCTGAATAGAAAGAAATCCCAAAGATAAGGTGAACTACCATGTTTCTAAGAAAGTTAAATGCGATGTTTTCTGGCCACCTTGAAAAGAAACTTTTAGAGATATAGATAAAACAGTCAAATACTTACTTAAACAATTTAAATTAATTTAGATGCACATATACATTTAAAAAACATTAATAAATCATGATAATTTTGAAATACTGCTTTTTCTCCTACCTCCATGTTTCACAAAACACTTTCATTCAAAATCTTTATGCACATCTTTGACATCAGTGTATTCCTTATCACTGGAGCCATTTCTGAGTCATCTAACACTCTTTTCAAAGGCAGATCATCTTCACTTCCATTTAAGTTGTTTGATACAGCACTTTTTGAATATACATAAAATGCTATCACTGCAAATTTATCCTAAGTCACAGTTCCCATATATATTAATTACCAACTGTACTCTTTAATGATATTTGTTAAATGGAATGGAAAACTGTAAGGTCTATTTTCAATAGTATCTAGCACAATTTTGAGGTCATATAAATAGGAAAAATTACTATTTACTGTTAAATTTATTAGATTCCTTTTCTCTGACTCCAACATTCAAAATCAGTTTGAAGTAGTTTTAGGCTCTTTACCAAACAGTACTTTGTTTTTCAAAATAAAGAAAGCAATAAAGAAATTTATAATAAGAGTCTATATATAGACTCAAATTAAGGCAGCTCTCTCTTTTATGAAATAAAAATTGTTTCAGAAAAAACTCACTTTATATTCGGGCATACAGATATATAGTATTTTCTTGATGTTTCAGAATCATCATTGTAATGATCAATTATTATACAGAAGCCTGGAAATGTATAGGACCAACCGCTTCTTCACATTTCAACTTAAAAAAACTAAAAACAGGAGCCTGGGTTAGAATTAGATCAATGACCTGAGAAATAATAATAAATAACCATGTTCTATTTTACCAGGAAAACAAATTAGGAAGAACTCAATATTTTAGAAGTGAGATGAGAACTAAGGCAGAAGGATGTCAACCAATTCTAAAAGGCTTTGAAATCGCCAATCCCTCTTGCTTTCTTTGACACTTAGTAAAATAAAATTTGAATTTCCTTATCTTCTCATTAGAACATATTAATTCCCACTACTTTTCACTTTTAGAACAAAGTATTAAAATACATTTTGTCCCCCCAAATATATTGTCTAGATTCTAATAAAAAAAAAAACACCCCTGTTAAAGTATGTTTTTCTCTAGTTAAAGATTAAACAAATCAAATTTGCCCCATCAGTAAACCGTTTAAAAACTACAGATTTTAATAACTGATTACTAAATAAATCACAAGTTACTTTGGGACATTATAAAAATGAAAAGTTTAAATATCTCTTAAGTACAAATTTTTGAGATTAAGATGGAATCATATCTTTCACTCTACTCAGGAAAACAGATACTATTTAAGAGGCTGCATTCAAGATTATGTACACTTTTTAATAATCAAGAACATAATTCCACTACTGGCTGAATTCTATTCACAATACACAACTTCCTAAAAACCCAACTGGGAGACCATTCCCCATCCCCTCAACTCAATCAGTCACCCGTGTTAATGCATGTTTTCATGCACATTGTGAATGTTCCACTGCAATTCACACTGAGGTACTGCCCCCTCTTTAACCAACAGCCAGAATGTCTTTATTCACCTGAAAAAAGTATACATTGCCTTCATGCTTATGGGTAAGTCATCTACAGACCTATGCTTTTCCACTTCTTTTTCAACTCAAGGCTTGTTTTTTTTTTTAAGATTTTATTTATTTATTTGACAGAGAGAGACACTGCAAGAGAGGGAACACAAGCAGGGGGAGTGGGAGAGGGAGAAGCAGGCTTCTGGCAGAGCAGGGAGCCCGATGCGGGGCTCGATCCCAGAACCCTGGGATCATAACCTGGGCCAAAGGCAGACGTTTAACGACTGAGCCACCCAGGCGCCCCAAGGCATGCTTTTACATTTCAAGACTAGCTGGGATACATTTTAAGGAATGGACACAGGTGGAAGGGTGAAGAAATACCACTATAAATGAAAGCAGATGAAAACTACAGATCAGTGTTGTTCTAACAACACAACACTGAAAGTAGAAAATGAAGTTTCTAAAGAGTACATTTTAATATGTCAGTACATAAGAAAAGGCATGCAGAAAGATATAAGAGGAAAAAGACATGTCCTCTTTGGAGGTAGGAGAAACGAGCTGTGGCAGGTGATCTGACCAGGCAAAAGAAAGCCAACCAAAGAGGATTTAGCCTAATGGGGGTTAATTATTGACCCTGCTGGTCAAGAGAGTTGAAAATGTTTTTTCTCAAAAATTAATATTCTCAACTACTACTTTGTTTTGCAATTCCTAAAGCATTTTAAAGTATTCCCATCTATTTTCAGGCTTTTAAATGGTTTTTCTTTTTACTTTTAATTCATCTTCAGTCAATTATTCCTGCTTTTCTAGGATTTTCTTCCTGTATTTTTTTTTCATTTTTTAAAAGATTTCATTTTGCGTGTGCGTGCACGAGCACACGAGAGAGAGAGAGAGAGAGAACGCACGTGTGCACACACAAGGGGGGGCAGAGGGAGAAGCAGACTCCCCGCTGAGAGGGAGCCCAATGCAAGACTTGATCCCATGACCCTGGGATCATGACCTGAGTGGAAGGTAGACACTTAACGGACAGAGACACCCAGGCGCCCTCTCCTTATTTTCAGACTATTTTTCCTGCTCTTCTATATTTGTGATAGGGAAAAAGCAAAACATAAATATATGTAAATGTAATGTAAATGGTCAATAACTGAAGTGGCTAAAAAGGAGGATTAGCTGGAATAAGCTAAAGAGCTACAAAATAATCTCAAATCACCAAGTTTCCAACACTGGAAAACTTGATTGGTAGTATTCATTTTGACCAAACTGTTCTGTTGGAAAATTTCCTTTAACCCAAATTTTGGCATGAAGCACATATCTGTATAGTAATCAGTAACATTCACAAGTTAATTTCATCCAGATTTAATGTAAAGTGGCTAAAAAAAAAAAGTCTAAAACAAGTTTTAATTTAGGCAATTGGAAAAATAAACCAGGGATACATATTGATCAGGGATGGGGGAAGGGCACAGATATTACTTTTTCCACTACTGGGTAAGGAATCCTAGAAATTAACTAAACATGTTCCCTAACTCTAAGCAAAGGCTACAAATCATTAGCCCCATGAGGTATCCAACACAGACTGGAGTGCCTGTAGCCTATGCCAACTGAACAACTTTACTATAAAGTTATCATTCAGAAGCCTGGGCCTTTCATCATTACCATTATTGGGAACTATCCAAATAAAGTCCCTCCTGTCATCTATGTTTCTGAATTTTTCTCTGTATTTCTCTTATACCATGCTGTCTCTGGCAGTTCTCCTCCCTCTCAATCCTTTTCATTTTGAATTCCCCTTATATATTTTTTAACTCACCCCTCTCCCCCTATACACACACACACACACACCCTCTTCAGATCTTCATGTAATGCTATCATCTCTCTAGCTTAATTAAATTTTAGTTACCCTGAAGGACAGCACTTTTCAAACACTTTTTTCAAAATGGAAGCTGCACATTTTTCCACACTCCACTACTCTCACCAGAGAAGGCTTTGGTCTTAGTGCAGCTCCACATTACCACTTCCAATTTCATCACTCCAATGAAGAAAAAAGTACCTTCTCCTTTGAGGTTCATGCCTTCCAGCTAATTTATCCTTGTCCCTGCCATCTGTTAAACTTCTAGTCATCTCTCACATTCAACACCGGTTCCTGGCTTGCAAGCCTTCTCCATTCAATCCCATTATCAATGTCCATGTGGGATTATCTATGTAAAACTTAAGAACTGAGATGTTCTTCAATTCCTCAGCCTTGGCCATAATTACTGCTCTGCCTCTGAAATTCTGAACCCCAATCTCTCACTCCATGATTAAAACCTCCTATCCTGGCAGCAGCACCAGATCCAAGATGGCGGCCAGCAGGAGGCTGATGAAGGAGCTTGAAGAAATCCACAAATGTGGAATGAAAAACTTCCGTAACATCCAGGTTGATGAAGCTAATTTATTGACTTGGCAAGGGCTTATTGTTCCTGACAACCCTCCATATGTTAAGGGGGCCTTCAGAATCGAAATCAACTTTCCAGCAGAGTACCCATTCAAACCACCGAAGATCACATTTAAAACAAAGATCTACCACCCGAACATCGATGAAAAGGGGCAGGTCTGTCTGCCAGTAATTAGTGCTGAAAACTGGAAGCCAGCAACCAAAACCGACCAAGTAATCCAGTCCCTCATAGCACTGGTGAACGACCCCCAGCCCGAGCACCCACTTCGGGCTGACCTAGCTGAAGAATACTCTAAGGACCGTAAAAAATTCTGTAAGAATGCTGAAGAGTTTACAAAGAAATACGGGGAGAAGCGACCTGTGGACCAAACTCTGCCGCGACCGATTCCAGCGAGTGTGAGCAGAGACCCCGCAAAGCAGGACTCTTTGGAAAATTGACACGTGCGGCTGCCTGGCGTTTGCTTGTGGCAGTTACTAACTTTCTACAGTTTTCTTAATCAAAAGCGGTCTAGGTAACCTGTAAAGAAAGG